GTCCCCTACCCTATTCCTTATGATACATTGAATCTAATCTAAAATTATAGATTGGACGAGAAAAGTAACTGATGATCGATCAGACATCAGATAGCATTTATTGAAACAGAAAATGACATCTGCCTGCAAACAAAATAAAAAATTTTTTATAAAAGTTATATAAATTAATTTTACCATTTAACTTTTAGGTACCAAATGTTAATTTAAAACATATAGGGCCTTATCAATATTTCATTTTATCCATGTTACTACTTTAAGTTCATGTACTGATGTACACATTGCTTAAGTTTTATTTTCACAATAATTACTTTTTCGTGTATAATACCTGAAGAATTTAGTGTCAAACATGATGAACTTTAAAAAGTTCAGACTCGAAAGCTGGAAGTCTTTGAAAGAAAAGTCCTAAGAAAGATATTTGAAACTATTAACGAAAACGGAATATAGAGATCCAGGTACAACCATGAATTCTACCAACTGTTCAAAGAGACACCGATCTCAGAATTCGTTAAACTTCAGAGACTTAACTGGGGTGGTCATTTAGTAAGAATGGAGAAAGAAAGATTGCTGAAAAGAACCCTAGATAGTAAAATGCAGTTCGTAAGACCAAAAGGAAGGCCACGGAAAAGATCGGAGGATGAAGTAGCAGCGGACGCGCAATATTTGCTAGACGTGAGAACCTGGAGAAGATCGGCGCGGGACCGACAAGGTTGGAGGCATAGTTTGGAGGAGGCCAAGGCCTGATTTGGGCTGTAGCGCCATTGGAGAGAGAGAGAGATCATCGGAAACATACCACATAAAAATTCCTACAGCTCATTAGCTGAAATAAACTTGTTGCAGACTTCTTTAATTGAAATAAGAAGAATAATCATGAATAATGGAAGTGTATATTCATTAATTTTGATAAGAACTACTTTTACGTTAGAATTAATATTGTCTGTGAGCATGTGAACTGGTTATATTGTAAGTTCCAGTTGAAGTCAAAATTTGGCCAACATAGCACTAAATTTGTTAAACAATTAGGAATGATGTCAATAGAGTATACAAGAAGAAAATGGGGAAATACTTGAATAGATTAGACTTTTTCAACAAAAGCAATGTCTAACGTTAAAGGACTGAGACTCAATGCAATGTCAGTCACATTCATAGACACTACGTCCCACTACTCCCACTACAGAATTTAATTTATTCACTTGTTGCGCTTCTCTTATGCAAAATCTATATTGTTTCTATATGTTTTTATTCCGATTATTCTGAACGAGTACAAGGATTAGGCTAAGGATCGCTAAGGATTTTTGTTTAGTTGATGAGATATGACATGGAATGCAAATTTTAGATTTGCCTCTAATAACATCTATATCAACGTCTGTTTTGCCTTGCAATTCTTAGAAGGCACAAATTAAAGCAAAAATCTGAATTTGGTTTCAAAAATTAGTTTACGGATTCTATATTGTTTTATTAAAACTTCCGTTTTAAACTTATTATTTAATACACTATTGATAAACTTTATAATAGGAAAGGAGAGAAAGGGGTTGATATTTTGTGGCAAATGATGAATAGGATATATGAGAAAAAAAGGATGCCCAAGGCATGAAGATTGTGATGGTATCAGGGAACATTCAGGACTGTAAACTATAAAGAGAAGAAAGTTAATGTCGCACACAATGAAAATTTGGGAGAGAACAGTAGAGCAAAGGTTAAGGAGAGATACATCGATGGGAGGACAGTTTCTGTTTATGCCATATAATGGATGCCTTGTGCACTTTGAGACAGTAGGTAGGGAAATACGGCGAGAGAGAAAAAGAGCTACATTTGGTATTTATAGATCTTGAGAAGGCGTATGAAACACTTCCTAGACAAGAGCTATGGGGACAGAGATATATGAGAGAGAAATGGGTTTCTGAGAAGTATGGAAGGCTCGTGAAGAATATGTATGAGGGAGCGTACACCAAAGTAAGGACTTGTGTTGCATTGACAAAAAGTTTTCCAGTGACAGTTAATTTGCATCAAGGCTTTTCACTGAGTCCCTACCTGTTTAATCTTGTTATGGATGTACTCACAGAGAAAGTAAAGGAGGGGGCTCCTTGGTCAGTGCTCCTTGCTAATGATATCATGTTAGTAGATGAAAGTAAAGAAATGTTGAAATATTGGAGAAGCGATATTGAAGAGGGAGGACTTAAGGTAAGCAATCGAAAACGGAATACATGTGGTTGGGAGAGAGAGGAATGGTTGGGGACATAGAATTGCCAAGAGAAAAACTAAGACTAGTAGGAGAATTTAAACATTTTGGCTCCTACATAATGGAAAATGGGACACCCTATCAAGAAATTGCCCACAGGATACAGTTTGGTTGGTTTAACGGAAGCGAATGAGCGGGGTACTTTGTGATCAAAAAATCGGGAAAGTGGCCTTTAAAGAAGATTCAGGAAAAGAACATGAAGGTGGCTGAAATGAAAATGTTACGATGGATGTTTGGTAAACCTAGAAGGGACAGGATCAGGAATGACTGATTCATGATCCCGTCAGGAATCAGTCGTTCCTTACCGGACCAGGAAAACGGCTTAGGTGACTAGAGTCTCAAAAAAGATTCAAGAACAAAGACTGCAATGGTTTGGTCACGTCAGATGTAGAAATCTATGTGGCACAAAGGATAGAGCTGTTAAGTTATGGAAGGAGGGGTAGAAGAAAACTGAGGAGAAGATGGTGGCAGAGGAATTGAGAGGAAAGGTTTAGGTGAATGAGTGGCAACGAAGAGTAGGGAACAGTGATCCCTAAAAAAGGAAAGCTAAGGAAGAAGAAAAAGAATAAACTTTAGAATAATATTTTATAATAATACAAAAATAACACTGCTTAAACTAAGGAAACCAGAAATGCGAATAAACCATCTTTGTGAGGACTAAAACATATGCTCCTGGATTAATAAACTTCTAAATGACTTTGATCTTTGTTTATAAAAAAATAGGGTATACCTATTTTTTTATGAAACAAACAGTACCTCGATATATAGTTTGCATTAACTATCTTCTTCTAGACTGTGGTGTTAATGCACTAACAACTATATGTCGGAACAAGCAGTTATTTTGCGAATAAAATGCCAATTTACCGAAATTCTTTTATTTAAATATTTTTAAATTGTAATTATGAAATTAACAGCATTTTTCATGATGTATGCAATTATTAATACCTATCAGTTATTACGAGTAAAATACAAAAATAGCACATGGAAAACCTAGTGATCCAAAAATGCAATAAATTATTATTCATCAGTACCATAAAGAGAAAACAATGCGTGAAATTTCCAGTGAATTGACTGTAGCAACAACTACTGTGTATAATATAATTAATAAATATGGTGAGACTTCCAATATTTATGTTTGTGGCAAAAACTCAGGCCTTCCAAAAGCTGTTTCTCAAAGCAGTGTAATGCATTTAATTAGAATATGTTAGCAAGGAAAAAGAAATACACTATGAGAAGTAATTGCTAGGTACAATAAAGCAACTTTGATGAATGTTTCCAGAAAATGCTGTCATAAATATATCCACAACAGCAGTCTCGTTTTTCATAAGGTATGTTTGATAGATTCCTCTTTGCGATATAAATTTTTTAGTATTTGATTTATTTGAGTAGGCCAGAGAAAAAAACAAAAAGGAATGGTTACGCTAAATCAACACTTTCGTGGACCAAACAAAACTGGGAAAAAGTAGTCTAAAGCAATGAAAGCAAATTTGATGCCTGTGTGGGAAATTCTCAAAAGCATGTGGTTTGGGAAAAAACAAAAGAATTCCATAAGGATTGTCTCAAAAGGACTGTAAAGTTTCAATAGGGCATCATGGTGTGGGGTTGTATATTGACCAAAGGGTTGAGAACTTTACATTTTATTGAAGGCAGAGTAAATGCAGCCAAATATTAAGATATTCTTGAACATTCGTTTTTACAAAGTGCAGATAAGTTACATCCATCTGGAGATTTTATATTTCAACAGGACGGAGCCTCATGTTATATGGCTAAATCTACCAAATAAAGGATGGGAGAACATGAGAAAAAAGTCTTGTCAAATCCTTTTAGCAGCTCGGATCTTAATCCAATAGAGACACTTTGGCACAAAATGAAATAAAGCCTAAGAAATAACCCTCAGTGCCAACTTTGCCACTACTTGCTAAATTGCAAGATATATGGGAGAGTTTCAATCCTGAATTCTGTGAAGGTTTGGTTGATACAATGCAAGCTAAGGGCGACATTATGCCTTATACATTGTTATTTTAATTTGTTAAAAATTTCTTGTTCCAAATAATTAATTAAATAGTAATCAACATAAAATATATAATTAAATTGGAAAAATAATTACATACATCATATAAAATGTTAATTTCATATTAACCTTTTAAACAAATTTAAAGAAAAGAATTTTGGTAAATTGGCATTTTATTTGCAAAATAACTACTTGTTTCAACATACAGTTGACAGAGCTCATAGAATTTCCATTATTAAGAGTTGCTGAATGTGGTATTTCTGTGGAAAGAAAAGCAGAAAGAAATAACAAATAAAAGCTTGATGTAAGATATTTATGCAAAGATACTTCTAAAAGAGATTTTTTCCCAAGATAGAAACAGAATATAAAGAAATGTAATGAAGAAAATAGTTACTTTGATCAAGAAAAAGATAACAAGAATAAACTGGTATTTTACCATAATTAAATCTAATAATACACAAGTTTACTCTAGCATATTGACCACATGGTATTGGGGAACCACATATATAATCTAATGGGTTTAATGCTACAATAGAGAAATAAACTCTTTATTTAACTTATTTCTAATTGAAAGATAAAATACTAAATAAATCAAATGTCATATAAGTCAAGAGCTTTTTCTGATTTAAATAGTTATTAAGTAAATGTTTTCCCATTTTACAATGTTATTTATTTTTTAAAAGGCATTACAAATTTTCAATTATTAAAACAAAATTCACTTAGGATTATTTACTTAGCCAATCTAATTTAACATTAGATGTTACAAACCTTTTCAAAACGCTCATCTAATAAACTAAGCTGCTCATTTCTTCTAATAACAGAACTAGTAACTGAGTAATTTGTAAATCTGGATTTAGTTTCTTCTTTTTCAAATGATGCATCAGACTCTAAAAGAGAATTAACTTCATCCAGATCTTCAGAGTTGTAACCAGACATGTTGTCATCATATTCATCATCATCTTCATTCATATGGCCTGAACCAACGGCATTAGCTAATTCGATAAAGTTGTCTTCAAGTTGGTTTTCAGGATCTGAATAATCAAAGTCCTCATCCATAGCAGCTACTACATCTGGATCCAAATGGAGCTGGGGACCTAAAAAATGTATTATAAAGTTTTTTTTTACTACAAATAATAAACATGTTTTTACATGACATGAAATAAAACAGCATTAATTACATGACTTACTTACAAAAATAAGATATCTAAAAACTTGTCTGATTTTTAATACAATTAATCATATTAGGACAGATATGCTATTATAATTTCTACAGTTATTGATTATAAATAAACAAAATTGTCTATGCGTTTCACACAGGAGTTCATTTTGAAAATATGTTTATATTTTATTACAATAGAAAGAAGTATTTGGAATAGAATGTGGAAATAATGGTAAAAAACATCTTAAAATGTTTTTATTATCTCATATTTTTCCTTATTCTTCTTCATTTATAAAGATAAACTAATCTTAAATGTTTATGGAGAGATGAAACTATACTTCTATCAAATTAAAATACATATTTTATTGAAATAATATTTAAATAAAATGAAAATTTTAAAGAAATATGAAATATGAAAAAAAAAATGGAAAAAATTGAGCTGAAAAATAATGTAATACTGAAAGAATTACAAATAGATACAACAATAACAATGAGCTGCAAACTGCAATATCAATTTCATTATTAACAAGGACAGGGTGCAATGGAAAGTAAAGAATGTGAGTAAAATAAATGATAAAATATGTGTTACACAGCTGACATTTTAGCAGAAAATCAGTGTTATTCAAAAACCAATATGATAGGAGTGTTCATGACATTATCTATTTTAAGTTTCTTTCATGCATTTTTTCCAATATGGCAATGTAGCAGTCTAACAGTATATGTAGATATATTATGCCATATGTGAAGATATGAAGAATCCCTAAAAGCATCTCAGGATGACAGCACTCAAATTACGGGAATGATATCTGTGATACAGCATAGCATAGCGAGCAGGACATAATACTTATTAGCGGTAATATATTAATGTATTGTGTTAATTCAAATAAAGTCAGTTTTTCACACGGAGTTTGATCATTTACCAGCAGCACACTGAAAGTGCAAATTAAGTCAATTCAATGAGTATACAATACAGTTTAAGGAGCTGGAGTATGTGATGAGCCTTTTATGTGCTCAACCATCTGAAGAATGAGAGAAATTAAAACGCTACTCATTAGGCTTTTTTATCAAATGAGTGAAGTTCATTTGTAACAGCTCTTGAAGAATACTTATATCAGTTTATTAGACAACAAAAGAGCTTGTAATAGAAAATATATATACCTATTTTACATTATTTCTGGTACAAAACGGAATACATAGTTTAAATGATAATCTAAAATTCACAACTCTAGTACAACCAGTTAGATTTACACAAGATAAAGTTAAACAGTATTTACCTGAAACGGGAGCTGCCTTTCCTAGCATACCAACCTCTTCTTCAACCTCGGATGGAAACACCGTTGTTGGTAATTTAAACTTTACCTTCAATTCCTTCACTTTTTCTTGATCTTCGCCATCTGAATCTTCCATATCATCACTAAAGTCTTCATCATCATCTCCTTCATCTATAATTGACTCAGCCTTTTGTTTCTTTTTAAACAAGTCTTCAGTATTTTTCTGCTTGCCTTTAATCGGCAAAAGTACTCTTTGGGGTGCATCCTCGTCTGCTATTAAAGGGTCTTGTTGACTTCTATGTACCAGTTGGAAAGTAACAGCTTTTTGTTTATCAATCTTATGTTTCGGCTAAAAATGTTTTTATTAATAATAATAAAACCATATTATAAAAAATCTTACCATTTTGGTTATATGGCTCAGTATTACCAGAAAAAATAACTTTTGTTATTTTGTTATTAACTTTGACAGCAGGCAGAACTAAAAGAACGTGTTTTGGACATTTCTGATATAGGTTAAAAATAAATGCCAGTTGTCAAGTCAGAAAAACACATGTTTTTATTCTAGGTCTACTAATCATAAACGTAACAAAAAATAATTTTAAAATTTCGAGAGTTACTTCAAGATATTAATTTTTGTAAAATAAAAACAACAATAAGAATATTTATTAAAGATCCTAAGATAGAACACAAAAATATGCTTTATATCAATCAACCAATAAACAATAACACATTTAGAATATTTATTAAAAAAATTAAATTGGGACGCTCATGAAATATCGGGTAATTTCGCAAACAAAATAATTTTTTATTATGAATAACAAATAATTCATGAGATTTGAGAATGTTCTGTAAAAGGCTGAATTTAAAATTCATATTATATTCATTCACAAGCTGAGACCAATCATTCATTACATTTACGATGGCTAGTTACTACTATCTTGATATTTCTTTGTAAGTATATATTAATGTATATTTAATTATATTTTAAGGATACTCATTTAGTCAGATATCAACTTTCTACAGATTATAGAAAAAGACACTTTGGTGTATAACATTATACTAATATATTTTTATATATTTATTCCAGAGTTTTTCCCTATGCTAGTGACCTAGAAATAACACCAGTGTATTTTAAAAAGTCAGTAATGGATGCAGGGAATCAACTGTTTGGAGAAACTTTTACCAGTGTGGATGTAGATCTTTTAAAATACAATCAAAAAGAGAAAAGGGCAGTTTTAAGAGTGCCACAATCACACTATGTAAAACTGAGAAGTAGTCTCAGTTTTGTTCATACATATGGAGATGAAAAATGTTATTTTAGGGTTCATAAGGCTTCTCCATTATTATTGTCTTTGCAAGGAGATAGCAGAAATTGTGTATTTTAATTGATTACATGTTATACATAAACCGAAAAGACTGAATAGTGTTTGCATTTGTTCACAATATCAAATTGTTAATTTTTTTTTAATAAATATTTGTATACATAAAGATATAAAATATTTTTAACAAGGATCGATAAATTTGTAAATAGATCAATGGGTACAATCATATAGTAAATGATGGAATATCATTTTCCAAGAAAGTAACATTACACAAGATTTAGAAAATAAAAGTTTGAAATAGAGAATAAGAGATACTGCACTCTTGCAACCTCTTACTTGCTCGTTGAATTCTAATTCTTAGTTGTGCTTTGTAGACTTGTAGATGGGCACCTCCATAGAGTTTTTCTAGTCGAGTGAACAAGGCCCGGTAACATTTTTCTTGATCCTTAGAAATTGATTTTAAGATATCCACAGCATCACATCTTAAGCAGCAGTCAAGGAAACAGCCTTTTCTTGTGTGGTCCAATGATTGGCTGTCGCAATAGCTTCAAATTATCTAAGATATATGAACCAAGAAGGTCCATATCTTCACATTAAATGGTAGCAATTTGAATTTCATATGATGTCTCATTTTGTCTCTTGGTGATTCTTTTACCAGAGGATCTAAAACTATTGCATTAACTGGCAGTAGCACCTTCTTATTGTTTATCATGCTCTATAATTGGTTGATCTTCTCTTCTACTGTGTTTACATTTCTCTGTATCTTTTCGAATATTCTAGAAACCACTTCAAATGTCCTAATTAAAGTATATACTTCATTAATTATTTGAGAAGTCCCAATGAGTCTTCAAAAAACGGTTTCGAATTTCTCGTCATTTTGTCTAGCTGATTCTTTAATAATTTGAGATGTTTCATCATTCTTTCTAGACCTCTCTTCAATTATTTGAGAAACATTTTCAAATTTCTCATTTATTTTCGTTAAAACTGCTTCTGCTGACTGAAACTAGAATGTCTCTGAATCATCTCCATTCCTGTTTGATTGACCGAGACGGCACCACAGTCACGTTAAAATTCTCGGTCAAATAGACCTCGCTGGCGTGCAAAACAATTTTTTTCTCGGTCACATAGAGTGAGACGGCAGGCAACGTGTTAAATTACATCCAAGAAGACTTTATACATGGAAAGCAACCGGTGATACCACAGGGAAAATCATAAGAAACCAAATTGATTTTATCAACATTAAAAAAAGGTTTAGAAATTCTATGACTTCAACAAAAACATATCCAGGCGCAGATGTCTTTTCACATCATAGTCTATTGGTTGCAAATATTAACATACGATTTAAAATAATTCATAAGAAAATGAGGCCCAAGATAGATATAAGACTACTAAAAGAAAATGACACACAGAAAAAAGTAAAAACAGAGATTAATCAGAATTTTGCGAAAATAGTTGAAGATACCACTAGAGACATAGAACAGTGGAACGAAATGAAGACATCTATTACCACAATTGCTCATGAATATCAAAAATGAAAAAGAGAAAAGAAGCAAGTATGGATGACAGATAAAATATTGCAGATGATGGAAGAGCGAAGAAAACTAAAAGGAAGAAATGACAAAGAATACAAAAAGTTGCATAAGACTATACTAAAGGAGATAAAAGAAGCATGGCTGACGGAGAAATGTACGGAAGTTGAAATTGAAATACTACAGCGCAGACATGCCGATTTCCATGCACAAAAAAATTAAAGAGGTATCACAGAACACCAGAAAACAATGCAATACAGGCAGAGTTGTAGATATTGAAGGCTATATTTTGAGTACCACTGAAGATAAATTACGAAGATGGTAAGAATATAATGCAAGAATCATTCGAAGATGCAGCATGAAGTCCCACTGAAATAAACAATCCCTACGGCCCAGAAATAAAACGAAGAAGTGACTATGGCCATTAAGCAGATTAAAGATGGGAAATCACCAGGACCTGATGAGATGCATGGTAAAATTTTAAAGTTATTACAGGCACACTAAATCACAGCTACGATACTATTCAACAACATCTACGAGACTGGTTACTTACCAAAAGACTGGCTACTATCAATATTCATTCCACTTCCTAAAAAACCAAACGCTAGAAAATGTGAAGAACATAGATTAATTAGTTTGATGAACCATGTACTTAAAGTACTCCTTACCATCATTCACTCGCGCCTATACACCAAATTAGAAGAACTCCTGAGTGAAGTTCAATTTGGATTCAGAACAGGACTCGAAACGAGGGAAGCACTTTTTACTTTGCAAGTTCTAATACAGAGAGCCAAGGATGTCAACTGTGATGTTTATGCATGTTTCATTGATTTCGAGAAGGCATTTGATAAAGTCCCACATGAGAAACTAATCGATATTCTAAAAACACCAGGGCTCGATGGTAAGGATATAAGACTGATCTCAAAGGTATATCTCCAACAAAAAGCAATAGTACGATTAGAAAATGAACTGTCCGAAATCTTCACAGTCGAAAAAGGAGTTAGACAGGGTTGCATATTGTCACCGGCATTATTTAACACATACTCTGAAAACATCTTTAGAGAGGCCTTGGACGAATCAGAAGATGGGACTGCTTTAAATGGGCAACTTATAAACAATATTAGATATGCAGATGATACAGTGTTGCTGGCAGAGAGTGCGCAGGGGCTTCAAAGGATGATTATATATTCAATAAAAACTTTTATTGAAAAAGCTAGAAGCTCTTTCAAAAGCCTTAGCAAGATTCTCTGCAACTTATCTTTAAGTATCAATATACGCATAAGAATTCTTAAATGTTACGTCTTTAGTGCCCTTCTCTATGGAGTTGAAAGCTGGAGCCTTACAGAAGATGTCATAAAACGATTAGAGGCATTTGAAATATGGTGCTACCGACGTATTTTGAGGGTCTTATATATACAACACGCAGGTAACATCTATTCTCCAGAGGCCAAGAAAATTATTAACACCATAAAAAACAGAAAATTGGCTTACTTCGGCTAAATCATGCGTGATGATAAATACCGACTTCTACAGTTGATTCTACAAGGCAAGATTGAGGGTAAAAGAGGCAATGGACGTAGACGTATGTCCTGGCTGGCCAATCTTAGGAAATGAACTGGTCGAATGTCATCGGATCTATTTCGAGCTGCTGTGAATAAAATAAGATGGGTCAATGTGGCCGCCAACTCTCAAGATAGGCACATTTAGAAGAAGAATAAGTTAGGACGAGCCTGGGAGGTACTCTATTTAGTTACAATACGACATGTTTTTCAAGTTTCTCTAATTTATGTAGTGTTGCTGGTTTTTTCGTGGTTTTTATTCCTGCAAAGATTAGTTTTTGATTTATAAATTTGTTTCAGTTGTTTAATAAATTGATATGCACGTCGTCTTTTGTTTTCTCTAAAATTTATTTTCATGTCCATTTGGTTTTTTTTTATACATTTTCTGTTTTTTTCTACAGCTTTTATCAGCTATTCGTCTTTTGTTTTCAAATACTTCTAGTGTCTTCTAAGTATCTAGTATATTGTGGAGAAAATATTTAATACCTAACTAATTTCAAATTAAATCTTATTACGATATCATTCAAAAATCAAGTTAAAAGACGCGAACCTGAGGTGCCCTTGAAGAAGTAGCCAAGAGCAAATACAAAATAAAAAAATATTTTATAATATCTATTTGTTATCGTTCAATACGCATTGGTTATTATGGAAGAAATAATGAAGTTAATATTTTTAGTGGATGGTTTTTAGAACAGTGGTAAATACCTCCGAAAACCAAACAAAGTCGTTGATAATTATTTATATATCTATTTAATTAGAACTGATTACAAATTCTAAATGAACTAGTCCCTCCTTTTCCCATACTATTGAAATACCTCGATAAATCATAAATATATTTCTGATGCATTTATGTTTGTATTAAATGCATAAATTTTAAATAATAAAATTATAATTATTATCTAGTTGTTACAAACTAGGTTAGTTGTTAATTATTTTCCCCCATATTTTAGTATTTTCACCGCAAATATGCAGTAAATATGTTTGTTTATTCCTGATAGTTCAATATTTTGGATTTCCTTTTTTAATAGTGAGGATTCCATAAAAGAACCGGTAATTCCATTATTGCCGTCGATAAAATTTAACATACCTACTCGTTAAGTAATATACTTTACCAAACCCCTTATTTCTTTTTTGTTCATTTCCTGTTAAAGGTAAATTTTTACAACTTCGTTTCGAATTATTTCATAATTTGATCCAACTGATCCTCAGTTAACTTTGTATCGAGACCTGAGGATGTTTTGCATATTGTAGAAAGCGAAACCGGTCGTCTGATAGTTAAATTAAATTGATTGTGAGTAAGTCTTATTTATTATTTCTTTACCTCTTTTTAATGCCTATTCCGAAGAGAACCTGAAAAACGCTCTTGAGGGTGAAACAGCTGGAAGAAAGGTAAATAGAGTTCCCATTAACAACATTAGATATGAGGACGACACTGTGATCTTAGCCGAAAATATTGAAGATCTTCAGAGACTGGTGACCAGAATAGCAGAGTATGGAAAAGAATATGGCCTAACAATGAATGTCAAGAGGACGAAATTTATGAGAATATCGAAAACTCATAGAAATATAACGAGATTCTTCTAATAAACGGAACCAACTTCGAACAAATGGACAAATATGCATACCTGGGAACAATGATTAACTGCACAAATCATTACATTCAGGAGATCAAAATCAAAATAGAAAAGGCTAGAGCAAATTTCATCAAATGGAATCTTGGACCTTGAATAGGACATGTGAAGTGGGACAAAACTGGAATCATTCGAGCTGTGGGTGTATAGAACAATACTGAAAATATCGTGGACAGAACACGTCACAAACAAAGAGGTTCTGAGAAGTATGAATAAAGAAGTAGAAATTTTAAATACAATTAAAACAAGAAAATTAGAATATCTCTGACATATTACACGTGGAGAGAAATACACCTTGCTCGAACTGATTAAGCAGGGAAATATTCAAGGAAAGAGAAGCATAGGGAGGTGTAGAATCTCATGTCTGCGCAACGTGAGAGAGTGATACGGATGTACATCAAATGAACTTTTCAAAGCAGCCGTCTCAAAAGTCCGAATAGTTATGA